TCTCTGAGTGATGGGATGCCCACTGTAGTAAGGGTGGTCTCGACACTCGTCTTTCGATACGAAGACGCGCTTTTATCCACCATCTCGCTTTCACAACTTCCTTCCACAGTTTTCACACCTAAAACCTCGGTCACGTACCGAGTGCATTTTCAAATTCCTTTTCATACAAAAACTTGAATGGTCGTGGAGTGGTTAGGCGTAGGCCTTCTCCTATCCCGAGTGCTGACGTTTACCGTAGGGTTCTCTGTCGCAAGGCACTTACCATTCAAAACCAAAAACAATTAAATAAGAGAATGAAGTTCTCTTTGCATTGAATTAAAAAGAGAGGATTGGGTGTAGACCTCTTCTTCTCCGAGCGTTGGGATGCCCACTGTAGTGAGGGTGGCTTCGACACTCGTCTTTCAATACAAAGACGCCTCGTTCGCCACACCCTTTTATAACAAAAACTTTGAGATAACGAATTGGGTACTACCCGTAGGGGTTACTATCCGAGGACCTGTCTCGCCCCCTAAAAAAACATTCCAATCAATCAAATGTGACTTCTAGCCCCGCGTGGCGAAAACTAATCAATCTTTCAAAAGGATATGTTACGTCCGTTCTACCGCAAACATGTAATGCCTAAGTCTCCAACGAATGAGCAGCAAAACACCTAACTGCTAGAATGCGCACAATAACGTCATCCATAAAAAACATCAACACACCGTAGGCCGAACTACGGCTGCTCTGATTCTTTACTTCGTTCAAGTAAAGATACGTAGGCACAAGGGCCACAATCCTTGCCGAGCACATTCCCCCCATATCTGTAGTTCCCCGAACTACGTCGACTCTGACTTTCTCACATCTATTGAGAATACGTAGGCATAGGGCTGCAAAGTCCTACCGAGTCTGTTCTTTCTCTTTTCTTCCTCGTTCTCTCTTTCCTCCTAACTTTCTTGTTTCTAACCCTTTATCTCTCTCCCTTTGGAACACACTTTTATAGCATAATATTTTAGCAAATAAATTCACACATCGACAAACAAAAGGTTCCCATCGAGTACGATGGATGCGAGGGGTGCTAATACCTTCCTTCGCATAACCGGCTTCCGAACCCATTCATGGTTGCGAGACCATCTTATCCATTATTTTCTTAAGGTTTTCTCGATATTTTCCTTTCCCCTCATGGGATAAATAAAGTTCGGTGGCGACTCTTCTGTCTATCTTCTTCGCCTCCCCGTCGTTGCACGATGCAGTTTTCGAGTAGCGACACTATGCTCGACTACCGGAACGTCTGTGGAGCCGTCAAGTGCAAGCTTTTTCCGACAACTCTGAGGAAAGGCACTATGACGTGGTATAAGAGCTTGGAACTGGAGTCCGTCACGTCGTGGAGGGTTCTGAAGGACCTATTTTTGCGGCACTTCACGGTGTCCAGACGCCATCCAAAGACGGAGGCCGCGCTGGGCGCGATCAATCAGGCCCCCGATGAGCCCCTCAGGAACTACATCGAGAGGTTCACGAGGGAGGCGGTCCAGGTAACAACTTTAGATGAGACGAAACGTTACCTGATGGAGAAGGGCCTACGCCGAGACTCCAAATTTTACGAGGCTGTGGCCATCCACCGGCCAGACTCCCTCCAAGACTTCCTCGACAGGGCTCGCCATTATATTCAGTTCGAGGAGACGCAGGCCACCAACAGCGCCCGTGACACTAGAAACCGAGCAGAGTGATCCTCTGAGGTCTAAAATGAAGACTCAGCGACGCCAAGAAATGATGGGTCGAGGAGCTCCACAGCATGCTCCGAGCATACCGAACAACACCTCACTCGACCACCGGGGAAACCCCATTTCGACTCACGTACGGAACCGAGGCGGTGATCCCGATGGAAATAAAGGAGCCGTCCAGGAGGACCGAATGTCCCCTCGGGGAGGAAACCGACGACGAGGCTCTCCAAGAGGAACTCGACCTGGTCGAGGAGATCCGATTAAGAGCGACTCTTCGCGAGGTCACGCTGAAACAAAATATCACCCTTCGCTACGACAGCAAAGTCCTAAAGCGCGAGTTCTAGACGGTGACCCGGTCTTGCGAAGAAACCAAAGGGACTCACACGAGGACAAACTCGCCCTAAATTGGGAAGATTCCTATCGTATTCGGGACAAGATGGAGCACGGGACCTACTACCTAGAAAACCTACACGGGGATCAGATAGCTCGATCATGAAACGCTGAAAAGCTAAAGAAAAATACTACAGTGAAACACTGCCCGCGAGGACACCCCTCGTGACTACAGGAGCGCGAAGTGGTACGACTGCGTCTCCTCGGAGTTAACGAGATAGCAAGCGCATGCCCTTTGTGTGTGCGGGCAGGACGCTCTGCTCGGCGGCAACCCTCGACCAAGAGTCGCCGCCGCATTACCAAGACCGACAGAACACCCAGCTCGCGATGGGACGTTCACGCCGCGGGGACTGGTCCACGATCGTGGTCCACCCTCGTGACCGACCAGGTAACCACCCCGGTCAACCGGACAGTTCCCTACACTACCGGACACAACTGATGTCGAGCTACCACTCCCAACTTAGCAAAAATATGAATCATGCATAAATAATCGAGCACATACACAAACTTAGAAAGGAAAACAAGAAATTCCATAAAACAGGTACAAGCCCAGAAGTCAAAACGTTACAATAAACGGGAACAACCCTAGATGTCGAGCAGAAAATTTTAGATGTTGAGCAGCTGCAAATAAGCGAATGAGCGAAAAGACGAGCCAGGTCAACGTATATATACCCTAGCACGGGAAACGAAGCGTCGCTAGGTAATCAAAGTGCCTAGCCTGTAACCGTCACAAGAAGACACGTGGTGACTTTCCATCTTCCTACGTCTCTCCAAGTTCTTCCCGCCCGTCTGCTCGCCACAATTACATCCTGCCCGACGGACCAGCACACCCGTCTGCTCGCCAGGATTACATCCTGCCCGACGGAACAACGCGCCCGTCACCGCCCTCGCGTCTTACCCGACGGACCAGCGCGCGACACCATTCTCTACTTAAGTCATAGCTCGCCTGATCATGAGCAACGACTTGGGGGGCTACTGTTCTGAACTGGGTCGACGCTTAACCCACTGCCTAGCAGGCCTAAAGCCCACTGCGTTTGGGCCCCATCTGAAAACGCTGTCGGGTAGAAGACCCGTCGGGCACAACCTTCCTCCCCGTCGGGCACGTGCCAACAGCTGTCGGGCAAGGCCTCCACATCCGGCCAGACAACCTCCTTCTCTCGCTGCCGACCAGCCAGCCTTTGTCCTCTCCTTCGTCGGGCAGAGCCCTGTCATCCCGGGGAGCTCCTCGGACCTCCCCCCACGTTCTCCACGCGCCCCTCACGCAGGGACACGTCATAAAGTGCCTAGCCTTAGCAGTTACCCACGTCCTGAAGATTCGGCTTCCTCCTCCCGGATAGTGCGAAACAGTTACCCTAGGGTGAAGACCACGTCCTGGTCTTCATGACACCACGTCAGCCCTAGCAGTTACTAACATTAGGCCTGACAGCCCAGTCCAGTACTAGGTAACCGTTGGCCCTGCGCTGGGGGCTCACTATAAATACCCTCTTCACTAGAGGGTCAGATAACTTAATTCTCTACACCTTCTCTCTGTATTTGCTTCACTCTGTTCCTTTCTCATTTTGGCATCGAAGTGTTTTGCAGATACACCCCCCTCCTCTTCAACACTTAGATGAGCAGTTCACAGATCAATGACGCATAACAGATCATCGATCTCCTTCTGATCAGGTACGATCAAATTCTAATGTTATAAATTAAGAGATGTCTGATATTAAAATATTTTAACATTTCAGACTAGTCTCTAAGATTTTCGTGTCCGGAGTAAACCAAAACAATAGTGTTCTATTAATATTTTAATCTTTTTGAATCTAAACCACGTGAATTGAAAAGATTAGGCATTTGAGCAAAAGTAGGACGATCAAACAATCTCATTTTCTAAGGTTGTTATATTTTTATGAATGGATTTAAATCGATGGCAATTAGTTAGGCTCGAAGAGATTAATCATCTCATTCCAAATCCATTGCCCTTGGATCATTAATAACTTGAATATTATATTTTTTTACTGCCACATCATTGATACTCTAGAATATTAAGGTACTTTAAACAAAATTATTAATCATAATAAGGTTATTTAATATACTATGACTATAGATTGCAGATGAGATTCAAATAATTTTGACACAGGAAAACTTATCTTAAAAGTCACCATATTAAGTAGATAGAAAAAAAATTAGGTGCCCTGAGCACTCCAAATCTTGAGAGTTGGAGAGAAAAGGGTCACAAACTCTTTGTACCAAATGCTTTGCTCATATGGCATGCTCTAAAATAGAATGTACACATTATTGATTGGATCAACACACTTTCCTTACTGTGATTTATACGTCCTTCTACATTTCACTTGTACCAAACAATCGGTCGGTTTGAGTCGATATCGAACACAACTTATATCCGATGTAAACCACAGTTCCATTTTAAAGGCTTAATTTCAACCGATAAAATTTCACAGTTCCAAACAATGCCTAATAGAAAAACAAATTTCAAGTATTTGCAATTTTAAGGACTGCAACTAAATATCATATCAACAACTATGACAGTATTTTTTCTTTTTTGACAAGCTTCTATTCAATACCATTTAATCACCCTTGAATCCTTATTTAAATAAAATGGCCAAAACAATAAGACATTCTCACAATATTGTTTAGAAGCCACAAAGAACCCTTCTGATTTTCAATGTCGACATATCTTTGGAATTCATACCATTTGAACTTTATAAATTTACAGAATCCCTCAAATTATTGAAAATGCTATCAGAAAAATGAATGTGTAATGACACAATACTCTATATTCAAACCAAAACAAGTAATCTAACAAAAATATAAATAACGTTATGATTCACCAAACATAACAAATACATTCTCAAACACAACAGAGACAAAGGAGAAAACTTTGACCTCTGTATTGGAGCATTAAATTTTTCATCCTTCACCGACTTCAGAAGGTGTCTTGGCCACAATAGACAACGCATGAAGTCCAGACTCCAACTCATCTTGAAGCAAGTTATAGATAAGCCTATGCCTCTTAACCAAACTCTTCCCTTGAAACTCTTCAGAAACAACTTTAACATTGAAATGTGTTTCACCATTGCTCCCTCTAACACCGGCATGCCCAGCATGTTGATAAGACACGTCTTCAACTTCCAACTCAATAGGATGAAGTTCCTTTTCAAGCTTTTCCTTTATCCTCTTCCCTCTCCCTTCCAATTCAACATTCTCATCAACCTTAGAACTAAAATCAACACCTAAACTTGGAGTTACAGAAGGGCCACTTGAATTCTCAACAAAGCTATCATCTTTGAAATCAGAATTTCCAATTGAGTTAAATTCAGAAGTACCCTTTTCAGCTTCCACATAGAGCAAAAGTGCTTTTTTCTGCATTAATTTGAGCATATTCAAAAACCCATTATTTCTAGAAGGGGTTAAACTCTGTTGCAATCCAAGAAGCATCACAAAATCGGGTGTGACCCGAATAATTTCGTTAACGGGTCGACCTGAAAAGCCTTGAACTAATAAAGCGGCGAGGCCTTTGGTGAGAACAGAATCTGAATCAGCTTCATAGACGACATTTTTATCACTGTCCATGTAGGCTCGGACCCAAACCTGAGAAACACAACCTTCAACTTTGTTCTCTTTAGTTTTGAATTGGGGTTCGAGGGGTTTGAGGGTTTTTCCGTAGAAAAGAAGCTGTTCGTATTTGGCTTTGGGTTCTTGTACGGATTGGAAGAGGTTTACAATTTCTTGAAGCTTTGGAGGGAGTTCTTCGATGGGTTGAAGGGAAGTGGATGGCGGTGGTGATGATGAAGATGATGGCGGTGATGGTTTTGTTGGGAATCTTTGGAAGGTGATTGGTTTGAAAGAGAAGAGGGTGTTTGTGGGTTTAATGAAGAAAGTAGAGTTGTTTTTGTTGATGAGAGAAAGTGGGAATTTGGTTGTGAATAATCTTAATGAACATGAAAAAAGGGAATTGGTTGACATTGTTGCTGGTATGCGCATTGCATTTGCAGCAGTTGGTTGTGAGATAGAGAAAGAGAAGGGCATTGTTCTAGGCTTTTTCCTTGGACTTAATGGATGGACAGCCCAAACAAAATCTAAACATACCCAATGCCCAACTTTAGGCTATTTTTTTTCTCTCAATAAATCCCAATTGACGAGCTGATTTTACGATCTTACCTGCAATAAACACATAGGAAAATTAGTGCAATTTGGTTTGAAAGTTTAGTCTGTTTATTTGGAAATAGTAATATACCTCCGCTTAAACCAGAAAAGTGTCTTAAAAGTTAAAATCAAACTTTTGAACACACTCCAAATTGGGGAATAGAAATTAAAGGATTAGATAAAATGGATTACATCAAGTTCCATTATGCTCCATCCAATATTTGCATATCCAAACATTAGAATAGAATTATATACAACTCCATTCCATTCCATCAATTCAGACATCCAAACAAAACACTTAAATCATGTTTGATAAACAGTGGTAGCCGTCTTTCACAATAATTAAACAAAAAATTATTATTAATTCAAGTTGTAGTCATGATCATGCACCAAATGAAAGTCCCGTTAAGCCAGCACGGTTGGTAGCTGTGTAGGGACATCAGATGCACCAAATGAGATGGTTGGTATTCGGATTAGTGCAAAAGTATGGAGTGCTGCAGAACAAACAAACCTTCTCTAATATATGTCTAATAAAAATAGAGTAGGCATGTACCATTTTAACATAGTGTATCGACTAGCTTGAAAAGTGATATCAATAGGATCCTCTAATGGCAGTTAGAAGAAGAAACGTGTAATTATTCTCCTAAACATTTTTTCAACTAATTTCGCCACTATTTCTCATCATTACAGAAAACAAATCTCACTAAATCTCTTCTAATCACCGTTATGTTGCTGAACACTTATATCAGCTTTCAAACACAGCTGAGCAAGTAAGAAACTTATACAAAGAGAAATACATCCATCTACAAATTGATTAATTTCAGATAAAAACAGAAGGAAATTAGGGTTTTAAGCGAAAATTGGGGCGTTTTAGATATAAAGCATGAACTGATCATAAAATAAGAATACAAGACACCACGGCGGCAGTAATATGGCTGCGTGGTGGTTCTGTGCAGAAAAATTGTGAATCAAAACGAAATTGGAAGAGAACAAATGAATTTATCATTTATCACAAAGAAATAAGAAGAATAACAGTAACAACAAGGCAAAAAATGACTGAGAGGCAACAGAAAATGGCCTTACCGCGCCGGAGGAGAGGACGACGATGAAGTTGCTCCTCTCGATTTGGTGTCGATTTTGAACGGTGATTAAAGGAGTGAGAATTCGTTAGTTTTCGCGGGCGAGGATAAGAAACGAAGTAAGAAAAAGTAATGGGAAAACCTAGATATAGTTCGGAAGTGGATTCTCTACCGTTGGCGCGAGAAAGGTAGAGTACAGTTCGAAAATTGTTGTTCGTTGGATTAATCTCACGCTTAGTAATGAGCCACGTGTCCATTTTCATTTTCTATAACATTCCTTTGTCTCTTTACAAGTGTGGAGCTCTTTGTCGTCTCTTGGTAAATTTGATGTCTGATTTTTCTTTGGATGCCATTAGGGTGAGGAACAAGTGCCTTAGATTTCAATGGTTGGATTTAGTAGGCTAATCTATCAAAGCATAATGTCATGTTTTGAGTTCTTGTTGGAAGAGTATTTTAACCTTAAAACATGCATTAGCCACCTTACAACAATTGAAATGAGTAGAGTCTTTGCATAATACCATTGAAGATGTTGAAATTTAAACAATGTTGATCTATAAATCTTTGCTTACAATACTTGTTAAATGTTGCTTATTTTATTTTTCCTTAAAAAACATACAAAATTACTGCATATTACCTGAAACTATATTCACTTGCAACTGGGAAGAGGAGAACCACACAAGCACTTGTTATGAACGAACGCAGACGCGTCAAAACTCGATAAATAATCAACCTTTGGAATCTCACCACACAGCTTATTGTAACTCACATTCAACCACTGCAAATTCTTCACACTGTCAGGGAGTTTCCCATAAACCCGATTGTGATTCATACCTAAAAGTCTTAAGCTCTCAGGCAACTCCACCTTTCCCATGTCAAACGAAAACATGTTCCATGAAAGGTCTATTGTTTCTGTCCATTTAGTTAAACCAAAAAACACCGAGGCATCACCTTCGAATCTGTTACGAGACAAATCAACATCCAACAAGTTCAACCTTGCCAATGAGATTGGTAGTTTCCCAGAAAGGTTGTTGTGAGTGAGAAATAAAGTGGATATGTTTTTGATGTAACCGTATGAAGGAGGGATTGGACCTGTTAGTTTGTTGTTTTGAAGGATGATTGCTTCAAGATTAGGCAACTGCGAGAGGCTTGGAGGGAGTGTCCCGGAGAGGTGATTATCTGAAAGATCCAAGTAAGTGAGGCTTTTCAATTCGGTAATGAAGTTTGGTATTGGACCTGATATGCTAGTTGCTCTGATTGTGAGGGATCTCAGGTTTGTGAGTTTTGTTATGGAGTGAGGGATTGTGCCAGTAAGGTTTGGTAATTGATATATAAGTAGACTCTCTAAGAATGGTAAGTTACCAATAGAGGGAGGAAAGGAAGAAGCGAGGTCATTGTCAATTTCGATAATTAGAAAGTAAACGCGGTTGTTATAGGGTATGCAATTAACACCGTGCCAATTAGAGTTGCAACAATCAGTGTGTGGTTTCCATGAAGAGAGAAGAGTTGGGTTGTTGAGTTCTCTCTTGATTTGGAGAAGGGATTTTTTGTCATGTGGGTGGCATCCTTGAGAGAGAGAGGATGCTACATGAGAGAGTAGTATTAACAGAAGAAAGAACTTAGTAGCCATTGTCTTTTTTGGTGTGTTTTTGAGTTTTGGATGAGAAAATTGAGGACAGGTGTGTAGATTTATATACATATAAGTTGAGAAGATACGACACAATTGTATATATGCAAGTTGCCATGGTACATCACCCGTCAAAACAAATGAGCTTATTGCTTCATGTTTATGATATTTGTTAGTATAGTTAGTACCATGGTTTTTTATGTTTACACTTTTATAATTGAATAGCATTCTATACCAGATCACCACAGCAGCATGTTTTAGATTTTGGCAATGTCAAAAGTCAAAATAAAGACGATAATCCAGCTAGCTTTATATACAATTTTATTAGTCCAGAAAATATACTTTATTCCATGAATGCTCAAACAGCGATTCTTGTGTTAAAAATCAGGTCCCTGATATGCCACTAATATTAAATCTCTTCCTATTTTGTTTTCTCAAAATAATATATATATATATATATATATATATATATATATATATATATATATATATATATATATATATATATATATATATATATATATATATATATATATATATATATATATATATATATATATATATATATATATATATATATATATATATATATATATATATATATATATATATATATATATATATATATATATATATATATATATATATATATATATATATATATATATATATATATATATATATATATATATATATATATATATATATATATATATATATATATATATATATATATATATATATATATATATATATATATATATATATATATATATATATATATATATATATATATATATATATATATATATATATGAGGTTTAGTCGATAGGGGTGTGCAAAAAAATCGGTTCACAAGAACCAAATTTAAACATATGGTGCACCGATTTCAAAAGTCCATATTATTTGGTTTAAAAGTTAGTCCAAATTCATTTTACTAAAACTATTAAAAATCGGTGTCCACTTTTTAAAACCATGGTTAATCCATTTTTCAAACTTTTTGTCTTTTTTTTTGTTTCATGGTCATAAATGACAATTAAGGTAATGTATATGTTCTGGCCTGGGCCCCGGACTGACCACGCGGGCCCAACCCAATAATGTTCCACCAGGTCCAGTCCAGTCCGGCCACCGCGTCGGGCACGAGGTCCCCGACAAGCAAGAAAGGCCTCCCTGCGAGGAAGGCCTGTCCCAACTACGTCGGGCATGAGATTCCCCGCTCGACCAAACACCGCCCTCCGCGGGCACGACCTACCCCCCGCGGGCGCCACCCGCTCTCCTGTCTGGTAGGACAACGTGTCCTTCACACGTTCTCCACGTGCTCCCCTCCGCGGGGACACGTCATCCACCAACTGCCCACCTCCAAAAGAGCAGGTCAAACCCACTTTCCGGAGATCACGGGATAGTTGAACTAGGGCGAAAACCACATCCTGGTCTTCACTACGCCACGTAAGCCCTAGCAGTCACATGGGTTGGGCCTGGCGGTCCAGCCCAACACAAGTGACCGTTGGCCCAGCGCTGGGGTCTCTCTATAAATACCCTCTTCCACAAGAGGGTCAGGTAACACACTTCTTACCCCTTTTCTGTACTTTGCTCTCACTCTGCCCAATTCCTTACTTTGGCATCAGAGTGTCTTGCAGGTACACCCCCTTCTCTTCCTCATCACCGGTGAACAGGCAGCAGTCCAACAGAGTGTGTCCAACAGAGAGTGGCCAACCCACGATCCCCGTCTGATCAGGTCAGATCAGTGGCGCCGTCTGTGGGAACAGAAACTTCCCCGTTACTCCGAGCAGAAAACCAAAGTTTCACCAACACTCCACGATCATGGCTAGTCCACACCACGACGATGCCGTGCACGACTTCATGCTCAACACTGCCATGAACGGCGGCAAGCCAACGGAGACGTCACGCCCAGCGGAGACCGACGAGAGAGACGACCAGACTGCATCTCCGTCGTCCGCAGAGCCGACACACCAGGCTGTCCACCGGCCCCAAAGCCCAGCAGTGTTCCAACCTGTTCCCGTCCCGGCTGGAGTGGACCCAACGGTGGCCGCCCTCTTCGCAGCCATCAACCAGACGAACCGGCTTTTGTTTCAACAGAACACGCGGATTGGAGCGCTAGAAAGCGAGATCCCGCCGAGGTCCCTCCCGCGGGAAGACCGGAACGGGAACTCGAGGAGTACCTCACCTCATCCCACAAATCGACGACCTTGGATGGAGAGGCCCCAACCCGAAGCAGTACGGGAGCGGACAAGGTCCCCGACGAGACAAGTTCGTCAGAGACGACAAGCCAGAGTAGGGGTCCCGACCGAGCCTCCCCACATCGGCCCCCCAGTCAGGAGGCCGAGGACCCGAAACCAAGTACCTCTGCCAAATGGATCGTCCCCTCCTCGGTCACCCACTCTCAGTGACGAAGATGACTACAGGACTCCCTTGTCCCCCGAAATCATGGCCGCCCCCATCCCCCACGGGATGGAGAAACCCCCAACGCTCTCGACGTACGACGGCACCTCCGACCCAGACGATCACCTGGAAGACATCGAGGCCATGCTTGACTACCAAAATGTTCGAGGGGCTATCAAATGCAGACTATTCCCAACGATCCTGAGGCAGGGTGCCATGACATGGTACAAGAGTCTCGAGCCAGAATCGGTTACGTCGTGGAGGATCCTGAAAGACCTGTTCTCGAAACACTTCACAGCATCCCGGTGCCACCCGAAGACGGAAGCCGCGCTCGGCGCTATAATCCAAGCTCCCGACGAGCCTCTCCGAAAATACATCGAGAGATTCACACGGGAGGCAGTACAGGTAACAACGTCAGACGAGATGAAGCGTTACTTAATGGAGCAGGGCCTGCGCCGCGATTCCAAATTCTACGAGGCCGTAGGGATACACCGACCAGCATCTTTGCAGGACTTCCTCGACAGAGCCGCGCATTATATCCGGTTCGAGGAAACTCAAGCAGCCAACTCCACCCGAGACACGCGAGACAGGGAGACCCCCCGCGGGCACCGAGACGACGAAGCTTCGAGCCACCAGCGCGGAGGTGATCGCCAACGGGAAGATCGCCCCCGCGAACAACGCGAACAGCGCGGCCCCACCGGTAGATTCACGGAATACACGACCCTAGTCGCTTCTCGCGAGCGCATACTGGCCGAATGCGCCAAGACCGAATTTATCCAGGGAGGTGTCCGCTTCCCCAGGCCGTCACCCCCCAAGCCCAACGTGGACAAATCAAAGTACTGCCGTTTCCACAGGAGCCACAGGCACGTGATGGAAGACTGCATCCATCTCAAGGACGCGATCGAAATCCTGATTAAGGACGGCCACCTGAAGAGATACACCCTGGGGGGAGAGACCCCGAGGCAAGAAGCTTCCGAGGCCAAGAAAGTCGAAGAGCTCCCCTCTTCAGACGGTGATAACGGACTCCAGGTCGCCCTGTGTGTGTCGCTACTGCGAAAATAAGGTGTTGGCAAAACAGAAGAGTTGCCACCTTTCGTTATTTATCCCTTAGAACGGGAAAGGAAACGATCGGAGAAACCTGACGAAAAGGTATAAGACAAGGTCATCGCAACCATTTTCTGGGTTCGGGAGTCGGTTACGCAAGGGGAAGGTATTAGCACCCCTCACGTCCATCGTACTCGATGGGATCCACGCTTTTTGTGTTTATCTGACGGGTTTATTTACTATCTACCTATCAAGGCTGGTCTGAAAAGAAAAGAAAATGACTCGGTAAAGCGTCGCGCTTTATGCCTACGTATTCTCATCAGAGAATGAGAAATCAGAGTCAACGTAGTTCGGCTAACTACAGGTTACGGGGAAGGTGGCTCGCCAATACATCAGTATTGTGCCTAGGTACTCTCAACAGGTATGAGAGATCAGATCTTACGTAGTTCGGGATAACACGGATTACGGCAATTCAGATTCATCTGTTTTTTTGAGTAGGGTTAACAAACAGTTCCAGCAGTTTGGTGTACGCAGCTCGACCCTTGGAGACTTAGGCGTTACCGTTTGCGGTAGAACTGAGAGTTAACGACACTCTTTTCTTCAGAAAAGCTTCCTTTGAATTATGAGCCCACGGGGCAAAAAGGTTTGAAGTTTGTTTTCTTTCTTTTACGGAAGAACTGTTTTTTATGGATGTTTGCAACCAATATCGCACTAGAGACTATGACCTGAGAGTGAATGTGTCGCATGTCACCCAAAGGGTGCCATACTAAACATCCAAGTTGTCGAAAAGAAACTCTCCGACAACCCTTTCTCAGATAGCTTAAGGCTTGTAACGTACGACGTCAGTTAACCTTTATTACTGTGTTTTAATTTGTTTTGAGATGAGAAGAGAGAGGGACAACTACGGGGATACTATCAAGTCCTAATGTTGTCATGCTAAGGATTCATCCTATAGTTGAGGTTTGAAACAGGGATCTCCTAGAAATTATCATGCATAGGTTTCAACCTAAAGTTCTAATCATCACTTCCTTATCAAAGGAAATGAGTTTCCTAGGGGATCATGCCAAAGGGGTACAAAAACAGATAAAGCATCAGCTTAAACAATAAACAGGTAAACAGTAAAATGCATGCAATGCAAGTGAGGGAGGAAATATGTGTGGGGCATCAGCCTCCACAAGCTCGTCTCGACCTCAAGCCAAGTATGAATAATTGCAATCATACAGAAGAAATGAAATAAACTGCCATCAAGCAAAATATAATAATTGCAATCATACAGAAGAAATGAAATAAAATGCCATCAAGCAAAATATAATAACTGCAATCATACAGAAGAAATGAAATAAAATGCCATCAAGCAAATCACAAACAACATAGGCAAGGGAGCAGAGCTCTACCGAATACACGCAAGCAAAGCCATACAGTAAAAATACAAGCAGAGGGAGCAACTCAACCCTTAGTGCAATCATGCTCCAAGCTTACATCAGTCTAAATATGAATTTATTCTAATGCATCAAGCAAATCAAACAAGTTACACCAATACAATTGCACAGAAAGCAAAC